TACGAGGAAAGTCTGAGGAAGCTTTGGCTTGGAGGAGACTGAGAGGTAACCTAATGAACGCTTATAAATATGTCAAGGATGTCTGTCAGGAGGATGGAGCCAGGCTTTTCTCAGTGACATCCAGTGACAGGATAAGGGCAATGGGTACAAGCTGGAACATGAGAGGTTCCACATTAATGCTAGAAAAAAAACTTCATGGTGGTGGTAACAGAATATTGGAACGGGCTGTCCAGAGAGGTTGTGGGGTCTCCCTCTCTGGAGACATTCAAAACCTGCCTGGACACATTCCTGTGCGACCTAATCTAGGTGTTCCCAGCAGGGGGATTAGATTAGATGAGCTTTTGAGGTTTCTTCCAATCCCTGACATTTGGTGACTGTGATTCTGTAACTGGTATGGAGAAGAGACAGCAGCTACTGAAATAAAGACTGAAATAAAAAAAAAAGTACTATTTATATATATATATTTATTTATTTATTTATTTATAATAAATAATACAATTTTTAAGCTCATCTTCTGTTTTCTCGTTCTCTTCTTTTCTCCTTTTCTCCTTTTCTCCTTTCAAATTTCCCTTTTCATTCCCTTTTTCCTTCCCTGCTCCTTTCCTCTCCTCCCTTCCTTTCTTATCCTTTCTTCTTTTTTCTATTGGCTCCATCGCTGAAGACAAAATTCTCTTATTCTCCTCCATGTCTCACTAGAAGAAGTAGAGTCGCAACTTGAGACTATTCACAAAAAAGAAAAGCTGCCTCCTCCCTACATCCCTCTGCACCAACAGCAAAGGCGGGAGTGCCAGTACCTGTCCGTTGGCCCAAGCGGCCGGGAGAAGTTGTGCATCACGGCCTCAGTGTGACAGCGGGTGAGGATGACAACCGCCTGGCACAGGAAGGGCAGGAACGTGCTCTGCTGCGCAAACGATGTGATGCTGCGCAGGATGTAGAGGATCGGAGGCACCTGAGAGAAGAAGAGAAAGAATGACTTGCTGCATCCTGCACTCTGCAGGGCCTAACCATGGACATTCAGCGCATGAGCAGTGCCTGCTCCCTTGACATGCTGCCAAGTCCTAAGCCTGAATTTCATGCCAGCTACCCTGGTCTCCATGCCCTGAGCACAAGGGGCAGACGGCACAAGTCATAGTGCAACAGCCAGCAAAAGTCCAAGACACATGAAAGAAAGTCTCTTACGTTCCAACAGATGTCCTTGCCGTGCATCTGCAGGAAGGTGGTCATCCACTTCCCAGCAGCACGCACACGCACTCCGTTGGCTTTCCGGATGGTCTCCTTGATGGCAGTCATGAAGTCAACGGTGCGTTCGATGGGGAAGTTTCTGCACACAATCTGCAGAGAAATGAGAAGCGGGAGAGATCCCATCACTGCTCTGCTGCAGCTCTTCAGAACAGAAAGCAGTCTTGAGGGCATTCTTAGCTCAGCGGCGTGCCGCTCATTCAGGCGGCAATCACAGCGCTCCTGCTGTCTGCACCCTGCTGTTTATACGGAAGGCGGCTGAGCCTTCTCTCAGCTTCTGCACCCATGGTGTTTGCTTACATGCAAAGCCTACCTCCCAGCAGCCACAGTCACCCATGCATGCAAGTGCACTCACACACACAAACGCACATCATGGAGTCAGCTCCTTGCACTGGGTGCCTGAAGGCCAGACATAGCTCAGAGCCTCCTGCTACTTGCACTGGGAAAAGAGGACTCAGGGTAACAGCTCATTTTGGAAACAGTGTCAGAGGCTGGGAGCAGCACAGGGTCGTGCAGAAGCCTACACACAGAGATCACACCACCCCTTCTTGGGTCCACATACCATGGCCATTTTGGATGTGGTCTGGAGCTGAGAGGCGATGCTGCAGGCATGCAGCCCCTCGCACAGGCTCCCGATGTCACCCGTCTCGATGTCTGTGTTGGTCGCTTTGGCTGGAAAGAGCACAGGGAGAAAAGGGAAGTCATGTTTCTGGAAATGAAACTGCTTTCCCTGGGGGAAAGACAGAGGACAGGGTGGGGACAAGAAGACAGCTGTGCACGGTGCCTCTCCCTCCCGTCAAGAGGGCCCAGCCCATGGGGCTCAGGTAGTGCTACAGAGGAGGGCAGAGGGCTGGAGCGCGCCTGCTCTACTCACCTTGGATTCGCAGAAGGGAGCTCAGACAGGTGACAGCCAGCTGGCGGGATGCGGGCATGGGGTCACAAGTCAGAGGCGCCAGCAATCCCACCAAGGAGCCAAAGTGTTCACGGGCATCTCCTCTCTGCAGGGGTGAGAGGCAGGAACAAAGCTGTAGACGGCCCCAGCTCTCCCCAGCTTCTCCCATCTGTGCCTTCCCATGCCATGACACAGCATGCACAGCTGGGCAGAGCTCGCCTTCCAGCTCAGGGGCGCTGGGGAGGGAGCAGGGGGCATGCGGTGGGGCTCTTTACTCACTTGAAGCTCTTCACAAACAGCCAGCAGCTGGGAGCAGGTCTGCAGGGCTCTCTTACGCTCCCACACGTTGCTTGAGACCATCGATTTCTGCAGGACCTGGGGTAGAGCATCTGTCTCACTGAGGATGTCTTTTCTTTCCCTTCCTGCCACCCCTCTCCCTGTCCCTCCTTTCCCAGCACTTTCCCTCAAGGCCTGCCCTGTTGCTCCATGTGGCCTCCTGCCTCACTGAGCACCGGCACTGCCGCCCCGCTCTCTGCAGTCACTCCTGCCTCCCAACCCAGGAGCTTTTCCTTGGCTGTGGCCTGCCAGGGGCTGGCTCCTGCTTTCCCCCTGCAGGGCCCATTTCTCTGCCCATTTCTGAGCTCGCAGTGAGCTGGCACGTCAGCAGGGCATTTCTCCCCCTCTGATCCTCCTCTCAGTCCCCAGATCTCTGCCCCCGCTATTGACAGGCACCATGCTTTCTCCCTTGCCCCACGCATACTCACATGGACTATGTTCTGGAAGAAGCCGCCGCTGGGCTCTGTCTCGAGCAGGACTGCCATAAGCCGGCCCAGAGCTTTCAGTGATGTCTGCTGAAGCTGAAAGCAGAAGAGGGGAGTGACGTGTAGCATCACGGCTGCTGCCAGAGCAGAGGTTGTGTGTGCTGAGGTAGGGTTTGACCGAGAGGTGGCTGGGAAAGTTACGGCAGGTTACCTGCAGGTACTGTGCTGCTTGCTGTGACTTCCTGATCTTCAGCATCATCTCTGCTGAAGGGTGTGTCACGATGTTTTTGCAGCACAGGACCAACATCTCACGCAGGTCCTTGCTTTCAGAAGAGGGCTTCAGCTTGCTGAGAGGAGGAAAACAGGAAGAGAAATCAGAAAGGGTCTTTACCTCTCCAGACTGGTTCAGACAACACCCGAGTTTCTCCGAATTGACAGCTACAAAGCCAATACCCCCACCCAGCTCATGCTGCTGAGCACTGCCTTCAGCTCCAGCAGCGCCCACCTCCTCCCCGGCAGCAGTGAACCACCCACCTCCCACTCTGGAGGGAAGGAGACCCCAGCTCTCCCTCTCTTTCCTGCCAGGGGACAGGAGCACCAGGGCCTTTCTCCCTGCCCAGAACCTCAGCTTTGCTGGGCACAACAGCCCAGCCGTCTCTCCTGCTGTAGATGTGGCTCCTCCCCCCCGGCCCCTCCAGGCCCTCAGGAGCTACCCAAAATGGGGATCACCATCCTGACTTGCAACCTCAGCCCTTACCTCAACTGCTCCAGGGCCAGAACCACCTTGAGAGGCACTGGGGAGACAGGGATGCCCGAGTAATACTTCTTCATCAGGTCCTGCAAGTCCCAGAGAGACAGTGTCCAAGTGGGAAAGGGGCACACAAGAGCTGTTCCACCCGGCCCCGAGACAGGCGCAACTGCCACACACCAGCCCATCACTTTCCCATGGAAGCGCTGCAGGATGCAGCAGCTGGTGCACCTAGCCTGCTGCCCAGCCGCTGCCTGCCAGCACCCAAAGTCCCCACCAGCTGGAGACGTGTGGCTGCTGGACACCCGCATGCCCCCACGGAAGCGAGCCTTGTGGCGCAGCCCAGAACTCCTCTGCACACAGCCCTGTCTCTAGGCACTCACCATCAGGATTTCCAGAAGCTTTCCCTTTAGGGAGGGGTTAAAGCTTGCAGAATCACCCACAGCTTGGTAGGCAGAGC